ACATTTACTTCAGGTCAAATCTGAAATATGAAACCTTCAATTTTCACCTTTAACATGTAAATTAAAGCAAATTATGTATGATTTTTTTTTGTCATAGTAAATTAAATCCTTTTTCAATAAAAGAATTCTCAATACACAAATACTTTGTATACATGTATTATAAAATTTAATCATGGTAAATATGTCGTGAATGTCGTTACGCGTTATGACCAGATTTTTTACTTTCCAAATCTGGTCATGACCAGATTTTTACATGCTGGAGGTTGGCAAGTATGCCGGGGGTAGGGCGGGGCCACAATGGCCGACCAAAGTTTACATAGAATTATATAGGAAAATTCTTTAAAAATCTTCTTCTCAAGAATAACAAAGTCATAATTGATCATATTGATATGGAAGCATCCTCAGGTAGTGTAGATTCAAGTTTGTTCAAATTATGACCCCCGGGCCTCTTGTTACATTAGGTTTTTCGGTCTGACAAAATTTGATTCGTTCCTGTGTGTTGATTGATTACACAGGACCAAATGTCCTGTGTGGTAAAAAAAACTTTCACATAGACTGTGAGGACGATATGCATATCAATACAAATAAAGAAATATCGCCCAAAAAAAAGCTGACTATAAAATACATTTTCTTTGTTTATTTAAACATTTTAGGTTTAATACAATGTACATAAAATTTATACGCTAAACATTAATACAGATCTATATGAAATAAATAATAATTAAACCCTTTAGTGAAATTATTTTGTTTCACAACAGATATAAAACTACTTTGAATAGGCCATAATAAATAAATTGCTAGATTCTCATCTGAATTTTTTTAAAAATCGAGGCGGGCGGGCGGCTTTTATTTTATATTTTTTATTTTTTCAATTTTGCAGATTTTTATTGACCTGGTCAATCGGTGTAATTTTATCTACAATACCCGAATAAAAGTCATAGTAAAGGTTCAATTATCTCTTACTTCACATCATCACCAATCTTTTTCAACCAATGACTCTTGTTTAAAATATATACGCATGTATTACAGCAATTACCATCTTTTCAGCTGTCAAAATCATGCGGGATTTAAAACGAAAGTAGAATATGGTAGGTGAATACTGATCCCGATCAGAATTAAGACGAAGAAAAACAGAAATAAAAAAAATCGAGGCGGGCCCAAGTGAAAATTTTTTCAAACAAATCACTCACAAATTGCCTACAAATTGCTTTGAAATCACTTAAAAGTGATTTGTTTCAGTGATTTGTAAGCGATTCATCTAACAAATCATGCTTAAATCACTTTCTACTAAAATGATGACTGTGATTTGCTTACAGTTTGTTATGAAAGGGTGATTTGCTTGCGATTTCTTTCCCATTTCAGACAATTTCTGAGTGATTTGTTAAACTGAGGAAATTGTTACAGTGATTTCTTCATGATTTGTTGAACTTAGCCATTCTTCAAGGTGATTTGAAAATGATTTCTGGAACTTAGTGTTTCTTCAAAGTGATTTGAAGATGATTTGTTAACTTAGTCTTTCTTCTGGATGATTTGTAAATGATTTGTTGATCTCATGGTCCTTCTTCAGAGTGATTTGAGAATGATTTACTTCTTAACTTCCGCCTGGCTTGCTGATTGGTCAGTATTAGAAACTCTACCACCAATTTTCATTAATCAGATTTGAATTGAAATGAAAGCTAGGAGCTAGATTGTGCTGTTCTGGATTCATTATAACCTCTCTTCTTTTGTTGAAACTGATGTTTTCTCCATAACCATGCAGAATATACAATGTAGTGTTAAGGTATGTATAACTGTATTATGCTATCATTTCCTCCTTAGATTTAGTTGATATTCCATATAATATGTTCACATGCAATTTATTGTTCTTCTATCAACAACCAAGTCAGTGGCAATTAATGTTTAAAACAAAATCTATGTAAAGCTATAAGCTTCAGCAAAGTACTGGCTTTTTCAAAGTGTCTAAACAAATATTTATTTCAGATAAGAAAACATTTACCAATTAACTTCTAAAAGTCAACAATTAATGCATATGTCATATTATTCTGAATTTGGAGCCAAGTATATGTAATTGTGTATCTAAAATACTGATGCCATCTTAATGATGACACATCCTAGTAAAAGTCTATATTTAAAAATACTCTTGCCAAAAGTTTATTGTTAATATACAACAAATACCGGTATGCATGCATGTGTGTTTCAAATATTTGAGGGATGGTTACATGAGCATCATGCATTAACAAGTGTACAAGTGTGTATCCACCTGGAGTGATTTGAAAGTGATTTGTTAAACTGAAGTGATTTTTTGCAATTTATTTGAAATGATTTCTTTGCAATTTATTCGGAGTGATTTGGTTGCGATTTGTTCAACAGAAGTGATTTCTACATGATTTATTCAAAGTGATTTCGTTGTGATTTCAGGGTGATTTGCTTACAATTTGTTAGGAGTGATTTGTTAGCTCATTTGCATGGAAATTTGCATCACTTACAAATCATCTTCAAATCACTGATTCATAAGTGATTTCTTAAAGTGATTTGTTTGAGGATTTTTTTCACTTGGGGGGGTATAAAATCGGGGCGGGCGGGGATGAGAATCTAGGAATATTTTTATTATGGCCATAAATCATATTTATTTGTGAAGAAATGTTTTGTTTATTTCAATGCAAAAATAAAAAAAGATTTTGTAACCATTTAAACATATTGTGACACGTACATGAATATATTCTATTGTGGCTCAAATATCGTGATACGTAACAATATAGAAAAAGTGGTATTGTCCTAGGTCCGGGGGTGGGGATGGGCGTAAGTGGGAGTGTTATGAACATATCTGGCTTGTTGTTTCCCTGCCCAGCCAGCAGATAAGTTGGTGGGCACATTGTTTGGTAGACAGGTTGCCTACAAAGTATCCAACCTATGGCAATGTTTAATGAAAGTCAAGTAAGAAGTTTTTTGATTGGGATTGTAGCCAAGTCTGCAGGCCTGGGGCCCCCTTCACCTCATGTAACAGGAAGGGAGGCTTAGTACTGGAGTACTTGTGTGTTAAAGAGGGATTAATTTAGGGCAAATTTACTACCGATATTCAGTGTTTTTCCCCTAGAGAATATTTCCCCTGAAGTTCTAATTGTCGTGCCCTTTTGATGAGTAAAGTATTCCCCTTACAATAATTAAACCTCAAATATTGTATTTCTTCAGAAAAACTGAAAATTTAAAGTAAAAATTTTCAAGATATGAGAAATAGGATTCTAATTTGCTACTATATGCTTTAAATGGTCTTAAAAATGCTGAAATTCAATTGGCTCCCATGCAGGGTTTGCCCTGCACTTACTCGAGTGGTTCCCAGACCCCGGCTGATTTTCCCAATTTCTCCAGAAAGGGTAGTTTCCCCAAAAACCTAGATTAATCCCTGGTTAAAGTGCTGCTGACCAGATGCAATCACTGGAAGCAGGGTATACAGATGTGCTTGCAACTCTCTCGGGCCCAAATGTCTAGTACCTAAATTTGGGATCCCAGCAACCTGTGACCAACACAGGGCCACTGGTTTTGCCTGGTACTCTTTAGTCGGTATACCAGCAGTCCTTCCGGGACCCCATTTTTGATTGTACATTTATGCAGTGTGGCCATTTAACTCCAGTTCTTCTTTTTGTCCATCACAGTTATGAATAACACAAGACTGTACATGATTTTTCAAGTTTTTAAGAAATTTGATGAAAACCACACAACTGTTATGGTGACCCTACGTGCATAAAGAATCAAGTAGCAATGCATGTCAGGTCCTGCAGGGCAGTGATTACCTGACTGTTCAATTAATCACATATAAGTAAATACATGCAGTTTAAATGAAACAAAGTTGTTCATCCCTGACATCTTCACTTTGTTTTACCACACTTCAATCAAGATTGAATAAATTATATTCACTGTTTGGGTTAATTGAGAACTTTTAATGATGAAGATAAAAGAAATCAGTTCATTTTTATTAGCTCTACTGGTCAGAGACCAGAAGAGCTTATGCAATAGTAATGCGTCCGTCGTCCGTCCGTCTGTCTGTCCGTCTGTCTGTAAACAATTTTTCAAAACGCTACTCTTCCTATAATTTTAGTCTGATTTCAATATAACTTGGCACACAAGTAGACTACACTAAGATACATAAAATAGTGCATAGGTTTTTGATTTCAATGAATGACGTTGCTGTGGTTACTAAAAATAGAATTTTCTGAGAAATTCCTTTAAAACGCTACTCCTTCTACAGTTTTGGTCTGATTTCAATATAACTTGGCACACAAGAAGACTACGCTAAGATACATAAAATAGTGCATCGGTTTTTGATTTCGATGAACGGTGATGCCATGGTTCCTAAAAATAGAATTTTCTGAGAAATTCCTTTAAAACGCTACTCCTTCTACAGTTTTGGTCTGATTTCAATATTACTTGGCACACAAGTAGACTACACTAAGATACATAAAATAGTGCATCGGTTTTTGATTTTGATGAACGATGTTGCCATGGTTACTAAAAATAGAATTTTCTGTGAAATTCCTTTAAAACGCTACTCTTCTACAGTTTTAGTCTCATTTCTATATCACTTGGCACACAAGTAGACTACACTAAGATGCATAAAATAGTGCATCGGTTTTTGATTTCGATGAGTGGTGTTGCAATGGTTACTAAAAATAGAATTTTCTGAGAAATTCCTTTAAAACGCTACTCCTTCTACAGTTTTGGTCTGATTTCATTATCACTTGGCACACAAGTAAACTACACTAATTTACATATAATTGTGCATTGGTTTTTGATTTCAATGAATGGTGTTGCCATGGTTACTAAAAGTAGAATTTCCTGTGGAATTCCTTTAAAATGCTACTCCTTCTACAGTTTTGGTCTGATTTCAGTATAACTTATCACACAAGTGGACTACACTAAGATACATAATTCTGTGCATCGGTTTTTGATCAGTACAAACCAGTAGAGCTACAGTCTCGACAGAGACTTCTGGTTTAATTTTGTAGAATGTGGCCGGACAATTCCAGGGATGTCTAAAGGCCAGATAATGATGAGAGTGCTGGTAACTAGTGGTACTGGTGACAAACTACGGGGATCCTGTGTGTACTTTCTCAGAACAAAAACTGATGTCAATATTACCAGCAAAAATATTGAAACGGTAAGTTTTTAATTCACCAGAGGCAAAGATTAAGTGAGCATCTCTGAAGATATGTCTGTCTGTTGTCTCTTCTTCACAAATAACATGCAGCCAATTTCAACCAAACATGACAAAAGTATCCTGAATTAAAGAGGATTAAAATTTATTCAAATAAAGAGCCATGTCTCTTATCAGAGGTAGTTAGAAAGTACATATTGAAATAAGGATGGAGTTGTTTTTGAAATCTTCGTTTAGGAGTGAAGATTCAGATTTATTCAAATCACTGTCCATTTGATTGCAGGGACAAGCACTTCATCAGTTTATAAGAAAAGATATTAAAAATCTTCCTGTCAAGAAAAGAACAATAAAATTTCATTGATAGTGTCATATTGATATGTAAAACGATCTTGAAAATGAATTAATTTAAGATTAAGTTTGTTCAAATCATGACTCCGTATAAGATATGACTAAATAGGGCTGTCATGGTTCCAATTGTTGGACAGAATATTGTTTATCATCTGAACACATACTAGTAGATTTTTATTAAATTTATCGGATAGACAGGTACTTTTAGAATAGACTGCTGTGGATAGCAATCAAATCTAATTCTTGTGGATTTTTTAAATAGGAGATATTCTTTGGGTATTTGGAAGTAAACCAAAATGCAGGAATTCTGACAGCATTTGAGTCTGTGATGGCTAGTGTGTATTTACCAGCTCTGAAGGCATATGAAAATTGGGGAGAATTAGAAGATTCCCCTCAAGGAAGAAAAACAAAGAAAAACTTCATCGACAGTTTTGACAATTTTCTTATGTACTTGAGAAGTAAGAAATATTGATTTTATTTTGATCCAGAATTACAAGAAATTATTTCTTAAACATGTAGTTTAGTTTTTAAAAAAATATTTTCTCTTGAAAAGGTGCCCAGGCTAACTCTGGTGAAGGGGTGCGTTTGGCTAAAAGTACAAGTGGAAGGATTAATCTCAAAGAAGTCAGAACTGTGTCAGACTGCATTCCTGTAGCATCCAATCCAGATATTGTAGCAGATATGGAAGACCTGGCTTCAACATGGTGCAGACAGATTGAACAGGTAAGTTGACTCTTTAAGAACCTTTATATCAATTGGCAAAGTTGAAGTTGAAGTGCCTTTTCTGTCAAAGAACAAGTCTCAATAAGGCATTATCTGTGGTCCCCGGTTACTTGTCAAATTTTAAACTTTCATTAAGACACTTAAAAAGTAAAATTCATTTTTCTCTTATGTCTGTACTATTTGCGCCAACGTATAAAAATATAAAATAATTGCAATAGACAACACGCCAAGCCGTGTTTTGAAGGTGGGGTCCTTTGATTTTCATGAATATGAAAAGAAATTTGTGACAGGTACCCATTTCACAGCTTTCGTAAACATCGAGCGCAGATTTGTTCAAAGTCGAGATCAAAATATAATGTGTATATTATATTCATACAACTTATGTGAAAATATTTTTGTTGAACAACCTTGCGCTGTGTGTTTTCTACTGAAAAGTATCATGATTTTGAATCTGTTCGGTGAGTACATTTACATAGGATTAACCTCTTGTTGACCTGCTAAGAATAGATAATATGTCACGTGATTCCATACCGACACAGGTAAATACCTCTGGAAAGCGTGTTTTCTGCAAGAAGCGACACATGTAGCTCGTATTGGAAAAGTGCAGTCACCAGATTTGATTTTTTTTTTATTTCAAAACAAGGTTCTTTATAGGTAAACTCTTATGTTAAACTTTGATGATTTTCCAAAACATATTTTTAATTCTCATGAATGTAATCGCAATTTTCCTGAGCATTGCATACACACGTCAAAATACGAGTAGATAGATGTATAATACATAATTACACATTTAATCAATTTCTTGCGAAAAAAGAAACAAACAAGCCAAAACAAGCCAAAAATGCCAAAGACGTAACAGTTTCTTCACATTTATTCAGTCTAAACAAATGCACTATACTGACCACTTCAATATTCATAGCAATCTTACACTCTTGCCACGATTTTGGGTGCATATAAACTTAGGGCTGAAACGATACACCCCCTCCACGATACGATACGTATTGCAATACTTGTGTCACAATTCAATTATTTCAATACGATACAATTTACGAAAGAAACTATTCATAAGATTAAAGAAAACGCGTTCAGATTTAAAAAAAAGGAGTAACGGGTGGTGATACAAGAGATATACTACAAGGGATATGACAGCTTAATAATTCAAGTACTAGCCCTCGGGCTAGTGGCAGCAATAAAGTCACTAGCCCCAAGTAAAATGTTACTAGCCCATATATAGGGACATCAAAATTAAAATAAAACGTTGAAAAAAATCATTGAAAAAGTCAGGGTACTAAGGTCATTCTTTTAAAAATTAATTTTTTATTATCACTATTAAAATTAAATCATATAAAATTAATCATTATGAAAGAAAATAAAAATTATCTGAATTTAACTTGAGATTTTTACTTTTCTGACTATTTTGCACTAGCTCATTTACAATGGAAATACATTCGTTTTCTTTTCATATTAAATCATAAAACACACTAGAAATATATTTCTTGTGAATCACAAAACACTGATCTTTCAGTTGATTGAGTGATCGTAGATGATTTAATGAGATACATGTATCTGCGTGTACTTATAATAAACGGAGGAATGGAGGAAATTCGGATTAGGAAAAAATGATCGTTTTTGGAAGTAAATAAGTCAGGTAGTACTACAAAATAGAGATAATTATGAAGATTTATTGACAGTAGGGGCATATTGCCTGGAAAATATCCACTGGTTGGGAATTTGATAGCAAAAAATGAGTAAAAATACCGGTTGTGTTTTTCATGTATTACATTCGTAGTTATAATTTCACTAGCCCGAATTTAATAATTAGTTAATTCACATCTGTGACTTCTTGTGGTTCCATTGATTAAATACGCTTTATTTGTATAAATAATAGCAATGACAGTCTGCTCTGAAATTTTACTGTCTCAATCTTCTCCCTCGTGTGTGTCAAACTATTGAAAAAGGTCGAACCCGATCCAATTGAAAGAGTTAACCAAACCCGATTATAAAAAACGTATCGAACCGAAAATCGAGATGGTGAATCGAACATTGAACCGAGCACTTATATCGAACAATATCGATATTTCGGTGAATCGTTTCAGCCCTATATAAACTCGGAAAAAAATGTATTAATGCAACGTAAAAAAATGACTATTGAGTTTGAATTTCATTTACCAATCTTGTGATATTTATTATAATAAGAGAAAATCCTTGTGAAGTATAAAAAATTCCCCGTAATGATTTGCTATACATTTGACTTTATGTCATTCAATTAAATGACTAAATCGAAAAAAAAAAAACTGCATACCTGTATTTTTTTTTCTACTGCACATTCAGGCTGATATTTCTCATAGCAGGCATAAATAATAATTATGTTTCTATTATTCCAACAACTGTTTTTGAAGTGTTTATACACATGTATATATTACAAGTATTTGTACAAGTCATGTACGAGTATTAATCAATAATCGATAAGTAAATCGGAATATTCAATGCAGAATTTAGAGTGAAATTAAGAAATAAAAAATAAATATACATGTCAGGCAGGTAGTATCAGGGGTTGGATGGGCGAGAAAAATCTTGAGTTTTTCATCCCCCCCCCCCCCCGCAAAAAAAATTTTAGGCTGTTGCGATACGAATGAATACACATTAATCTTAATGTTTAATTTTTCAAATTAAAATGAGTAATAGTTAGACTCCCACTCCCAAATAATCACTTTTTCAAGTTTGGAAGGGTTTCCTCTTTTACTTTTGATTAATCAAAATTTTGTTTGGGTATCTATATTCTTGTTAAAAAGTTGTTTATATTTTTTCTTAGCTCCCCCTTTACAAAGAAAAGGAGGTAAATTATTTGATCGTTTGTACTTTTTCATCATATTAAAGAAAAAAAATAAAGTGGTTAAAATATTTTGACATTTTATTCAACAATGATAGATAAAACAAAATTAACGTGATTAGGGGATTTTCAAAACTGTGACCAAATATACCTCAAAAATAAAAAGAAGACCCCTCACTCACACCAAGTTAAGAAGAATACGAATAATGCAAAATAAAATTCAAGCTTATTGAAGATTATTTTGACCCATTGTTTACTACTTGTAGTATTGTTTATCATTTCACGCTACAGCTCACCATGTCATCCTTTATATAGTACCTAATTTAAATGTCTCCGCCCATTTGTATGTAATAGAGAAACCGCACTCTGTTCGAAAGAAAATGTTCCGGAATTTGTATGTGCGTAGGTGTTGAAAATTGGCTTATATTTCTTAATACTCAAAGTCATTAATAATGACTCTATAACATTTCAATTAGAAATGCTATGTTATACACCATGAAAATAAAAATAATACCATATCCTCAAGTATATTGTGTAAAATAAGGGCGAAAAAAGGGACCAAGCTACTATACTTAAGTGGAAAACTCCTTTGGCCCTGCAAAACCATGTTATTATTGCATGTTTGCATTTTACTTAACTTATACATTTCCTTTTAAAAATCATAAGAATAAAAGAATATTTTATATGAGTGAGCAGAGGGTTTATGAACCTTAAAGTGAATTTAATGTATTTTTCAGTTTAATTACCCATTAATAATAATTTTTGCAGCATTGTACAATATACATATACCTGGTAGATGTAACTAATCAAAACCGATGTTTCTATAGATTTTAGCTGAGAGTGATCAAATGCGCAAAGAAGCTGATGACACTGGTCCCTTAGCAGAGCTGGAACATTGGCGACAGCTGATGGCCAGGTTTAATGCCTTGCTAGAACAAATAAAAAGCCATGAATGCAGGATGGTCATCAACATCCTCAATGTAGCAAGGTCAAAAGTATTAAGGGTAAGTTGAGTTGGATCCATAGAACTTTATTTTGCATTGAGGTAATTTATTTTCTCTCACTACTGTAGATCACATACCACATTTTAAAAACACTTTATATGTGCATGATACACCATGTACATATTAATATTTATAAACAAGATAAAATTTCAACAAATTTGTTATACTTGTAAAAAAAATTTAGTGTAAAAAATTTTGAATTTTTGGAAGTGACAGTCTCTCAATTACCGTAATTTACGGAATATAGGTCGATACTTTTTTTCTCAGAACCGCTGGGGTCGACCAATATTCAAAATTCGACCTATTTAAGGCTCAAGTTTACGAAAAATGCCTCCAAATCAGTAAAATTTACGTCAATTTCAAAGCAAATCGGTGCCCCTTTCGTAACTTTTTTGATTATTTTTCGCAAAGAAAATTAATGCCCCGGTAAACAATAACATATTTATTCTAAAACTTTCTTACAAAATAGATTCCACTGATTATCCGTTGATGAGAAAGGAAAACAACATTGCTTCACCTATTAAATAATTCCTAAACGTATTATCCATTAACATCATGCGGTATCCATCTTGTGAAGCTAGGAAGTCGCGATCGTGTACTAAAAGTAAAACTGCAACCGTATCAAAATTTAAAATACGGAAAATTTTCACGATCACAACTATAGTGTTTTTACCATTTATTAGTAGCGATAAATTGAAATAGTATATTAAATATTTTTCATTGTCTTATGTTTATTTAAATGTAAATTGAGTGAAATAATTTGTTGCCATTATTAAAAGCTTCGTACACAAGAAGTACATTTTTTTTTGAAAAATATTTGTATTTTATTTGAAGTACATTGAACTACCGGTATACAAAGATTGGCTTCTAACAGAATTTTAATTGTCTGACAGATAAAGGGATTTACACTGTGTACGCAAAGGTGTTAAACACCTGTGTTATTTAATTAATTGCCTGCGGGGCATGATTAAGAAACCCACGTGCCATTATAGGGTATTAGTGTTACACTTCATTGAACAAACAAAGCCGTGAAATTCATGTTGACAGTCAAATTGTGAATGTACTCTCAATTAAATTTATAAATTAAACTTCTAGAGTGTAAGTATGATTTCAATTCTTTACTGTTGCTTGATATATACATTCAATGGTAATTTGCGTCATTTAGCCAATCCCTGGAGTAGAAAAATAACAATGGCGGACATCGAAGTAATTGTCGTCCACCAGTATATACTGTCTGAATAAAATTTATTAGGAATGTGTCCAAGTTATTCTGAAATCGGAAGTGCTATTCTTTGGTCTTGGGTATTTCCCGAAATGTAGCTGTAAAAAAAATAATGTATTTACGTGTTATTTATGCCTCTGATTTAACTACAGTGTGAAACTACGCAGGCATTGATTGATTGAACACGCAAGTTGGAGAAAAA